AAAAAAATATTGTTTAAAATTCATGAGTAAAGAAAGATATGTTCAAAGCTTTAAAAGCGAATAGTCTCAAGTTGATTTACAGCCATAAATTGTGTGACAGTTGGCTTCCAAAATCTTTAGGATTTGTGCCTAAAACCAACAGTTGCAGAAACCTTAACAACTTGCTCCACCTGATGAGGTCAAATTAAAACTCAACAAAAATAAACTTTTAAAAGGTAAAAAAAAATTACATCATTTCAACATCTACTCAGCATCATCATCATCATGAGTGTCAATTATATATGCAAGGTTTATCAGCTGAATATCCTCTCCACCTAAAGTAATCTAAGAGAAAATATATTTGGCAAACTTGGACACTGTACCTGTCAAAAAAAATGCAGAATCAAAATGACGGTTTTTCCCTTGACACCGCTATTAATTTAAATACCTTCACTCATCAGGAATATTTGCTTTAAAAATTGATTAGAATTCTCATAAAATCTAAACATAAATCCTAAAATATAAATTACTATTTATTAGATTGTTTATTTACAAGAATAATTTTATATTGACAGCATTCCAAAAAATAATACAATTAAAAATATTAAACATTGTTTGTTAAAATATTAAGCATTTTTAAAATACTAAATATTGTTTATTTACAACAATTATTTTATACAGTAGAATCTTTCATATTTGGAATCCCGCATATCCGGACATGATTTTGATGTGTATATTTGAACTATTTGGGTAATATTTAACCGATTTGAAATTTCTGTTTTTCAGGAAATTTACTTTGAATAATTGCTTATGCTTATTTCACCCTTATGGCTTGTATTGGTGCAAAAGATGATGGGATTAAGAATAAAAGAACAACCTTGGAGTTATCGCAAAAAGAGGAAATTTTAAACAGACTAGACGCTGGTGAAAGTTCATTGTAACTAATGGCCAAATTCAACATAGAAAAGTCAACATTGTATGATATAAAATCTTCCAAAGAAACTATTCTCCAAAACCTGGAGTGAAATGGAAAAAGCTATTGAAAAGGTTGTCAGTTTTATGGAAAGAAAGCCAGCATTCAGCTATGATGATTGCAATAACACACACACAGTTAAAAAGCATGTCTCATGTAAAAATTTTCAAGAACAAAAGCAAAATGAAATGTAGAAAAAGTTAATGACATTAGAAGAGAAAGAATCATCATGCAACAACAATTAAAAATCGTTGTTATATTTGTTTTGCATATGTGGCATACATAATTTAATGAATTTTCATTAACATTATTTCTTTTTCCTTAAAATCAATTTCACTCAGCATTAGCTTATTTCATTTTCTATAAAACATTGAAAATAAATGTTAAACTTAATTTAAGTTCTTTTATTTTAATTTAAATATAAGCCCTCATAATTTGCAATATTCTAAAAACTAACACAATGGAATATTTATCATTTACCAATTTATAAAGAAATAAATATGAAAACAATTTTTTATTCATAAATTTATAAACATTTATTAAATTATTAAAATATGTCAATCAGCTATAAGGGAATCCTTATTAATTACCATTTTATAAAGTTTGAACCACTTGGCAATAAGCTGTTTTGCCAACCATTCCAATAAATAATATTTTAATTTTATATTGTACCAATATAAAGACAGCATTATTAAAATTAAAAATACAATTTTACATGTTTTAATAATTAACAATATCATTGCATTTTTGCTTTTTGATCTTTGATGTTGAATTTGTGTATGAGCCAATTACATAGATGCAAACCTTCTCATTAGGACCAAATATATATTGTTACCTTTTGATTTTCCATCACTTATAGGTTTGATTAGGATTGTTCAAGTAGTATAATAGTTATTGGTGTGGAAATTGAAATTGGTAAGCCAAGTTGAAATCCTGGTTGACTCTGCAGTGTTTCTTTTCACATAAATACACTTGGGAAAGGTAAGAATCTATCTTATCTACTTCTCCCAGCTATGGATTAAATACCAGGGAAAACCGGGCTGACAGAACATTCTGAATTAAAAACAATTTAGTTGGCAATGGGAAACCACTTCCAAGATGTTAAGGCATTTTATAGATAATAAAGAGAAGTAGTGTGTACCTGCCCTGATTGTCTACAACATGAAGAGACATGGCATGGTGAAAAAAAAGAAATTTAATTATTTTGTTGTTTTATTAAAATATAAACAATTACAATAAATTTATTTGAATAGCATTGTAATATAGCAACAACTCTAAGTTTGTCTATATTTCTGAGATGAGGTATTATGTAAATACTGTACATATGCTCTCGAACATACCATGGGTTCAAGACATCCGTATACCGTAAACCAACATTCACCGAACAGTACCTCAATTTCGACTCCCACCATCCATACAGCGTAAAGAAAGGGATCGTCCGATGCTTACAACACCGAGCAAAAGTCATAAGTGGCGATCCAGAGACATTAGATAAGGAATTGGTCAGTATAAGTAGTACCCTACAACATAACAACTACCCTGGGTACATGGCAGCAGCCCCGCAAAACTGAGATAGGCGGGTACAAGAGGAGGAGGAGGAGGACAACAACACTCAGAAAACAGTGTGCCTGCCTTATGTGAAGGGGTTATCAGAGAAAATACAAAAGGATCTGTGGTCCATATAACATCAGGACAACCTTCAAAAGCGTGACAACACTTCGCAAATATCTCTCACGAGTGAGACCCCCCACAGAGAGGAACATGACTAAAGACTGTGTGTACGCTATCCCGTGCAGCTGCGGAAAGGAATATAAAGGAGAGACAGGCCGCCCCCTTAAGGTAAGGCTTCAAGAACACCAGAAAGCTGTAACATGAGGGGAAGTAGAAAAATCAGGCGTAGCTGACCACATATGGAGAGAGAAGGGAGATCACCGCCCCCTGTGGGATCATGTTGAGATCATAGACAGGGAACACCATTGAAAAATCCGTAAACTTAAGGAATCAGCACATATGCTAGGCCACAAAATCTCCTGAGCCGACCAAGCATAGAAATAAATACAATATGGGAACCAGTAATAAGGAGTGCCAGAGAAAAGCAATGATAAAGTTGCAATATGAACTCTGGTAAAGACATGCAATGATAACAGCAAAATTGCAATATGAGCACTGGTAAAAATGATGCTGAAAACATTAGGTTTATAATACTCAGAAGGACACATGGCACAGTGGATAAAGGCATTGGTTAGATCCAGTGACAGACCCAAAGAAGGTGAGTTCAATACCTGGTTAAGGCAGTGGAGAACTTTCAGAGGGAAAATTAGCAGGAGATAACTGATAACTGACATCCATCAAACATGGCACGTGGAACTAGAACAGTCTACCCCAGTGACCGAAATAAAGGGTTCAGTTCGAAATTCCAACCACCTGAAGAAGGCCGGAGCGTACAACGGCCGAAACGTTGTGACAAATATGGCGACAAAGATGAGGACAATAGTCCGACTAATGTAAATACTGAACTCTAAGTTTAAAAAGCTTTATTTGACTAATTCAGCTTTAGCGCTGAAAACATTTTATTATAGTGGATGGTTGCAAGTGAAAGGTGAGATGTATTTATTTTATTCCCACAAGCATTGGCTCTAACTCCTGTTTATTTTAGATCACCATTGATGAATTATTTATTGGAATGCTTGGTGTAATATAGCAACAACTCTAAGTAGAAGCTTTATTTGACTAATTCAGCTTTAGCACTGAAAAAAATTATTTTATTATAGCAGATGGTTGCAAGTGAGAGAGGAGATTTGTTTATTTTATTACCACACCAACTATTTTCTATAAAAAATCTAATAAATAAATAGTGTTTATTATTTTTGTTGTCAAATCTCAAGAACATTGAAAATTTACAAATTTGCTTTCATATGTTTAAGTTTTATTACAATTGTAAGAATCATTTTTAAAAATAAAACTTTGCCAAAGGGTGAAGGTAGTTAAAATAATTGTGGTGTTGAGGAAAAAACAGTCTTTTTGACTCGCCATCTATTGCAGGCATGAATAAAATCCAGGTTTGTCATATATTTAACAGGGAAATTTAGAGAAAGGTATAGGAAGTAATTTTTTTTCTCATAAAGTTAAAGATAATATTTATGCTTATAAATGCATTAATTTTAAATTATTTTGGAACCAAACGCTAACATCACTCAACTCTCCTTATATACCTCATCAACTGTGAGAAAACTGATATCAACCTTTTTCAAAACCCATTTTAAATGCATTCAGCTGAACAATCAGTTAATGCTAACAATTATATTCCCTTCATTATACAATTCTTTATTTCAACCACAATGGCTCAATTGAACCCAGTTATCTCACATTGAATCCTAGGTCAATTGATATCAAATACATTGGTGATCCCTGTTTTAAATGCATTCAGCTGAACAATACAGTTAATGCTAACAATTATATTCCCTTCATTATACAATTCTTTATTTCAACCACAATGGCTCAATTGAACCCAGTTATCTCACATTGAATCCTAGGTCAATTGATATCAAATACATTGGTGATCCCTGTTTTAAATGCATTCAGCTGAACAATACAGTTAATGCTAACAATTATATTCCCTTCATTATACAATTCTTACTGTCAACCACAAAAGCTCACTTGAACCCCAAATATGTCTCATCAACTTCTAGAGATTGTTATCAATAATTTTGAATACACCTCTTTTGAATGTTTTCAAGAGTTAAAAATTGACCTTTTTTAGATTTTAGGATTTCTTTTCTTGACCTTCAAAAGTAGCCAATGACCGATTCCCAAATCCCTGAAATGCCTGGTCATAAACTTCAGATCAGTAATGATCGCTTTAAGAATTTGGGTTTAGGCTGATAAATCTTTACTTTATGGGTTGGATTCTCATTATCTTCTTCTACATGCTATGCTCCTTCAGGATGTTAGTGATTATGGTTCTCCACAACCTCCTATCTCTTAATAACATTTGTCCCTTTGTCAAACCTCCTGTTCACTGTTCTGTCATCCATTCACACAAGCTTGTCATATAGGTGGGCCACTGTTTTCCCCTAACCATTTTGCCCTTGATATGCCCTGTGAGTGCTAAATTCACCAAGCCATCTTTCCTTATTGTCTCTTTCTGATTCTAAGTGTTCATTTTTCTTAAGACTGCTTTGTTGTTTATGCACTCAATCAAATTCTCCATATCCTTCTATAGAAGCACATTTCTGTCACTTCCAGTTTTCTCTTCATCTGTGAAAAAATTGTTCAACATTCACTGCCATACAAAAAAAATTGATATTACATAATAGTTCAGTGCTCTATTCCTAATAAAATTTTCCTGTTTACTTTGCTTAGCTTTGGGAAGGCATCTTTTGCTAATCCAATGTATATCTGACATATTGGTGTCGGATTGGTTTCAAAAAGAAATTTCCAAAGATATAAACATGAAAAAGGATAAAGAATAAGAGGCCATGGCTGAGTGAAATTGGCAAAATTCTTAAATGGAATTGATAAAATACTCAATAAACAATGAGAAAACAAAGAAAATACAAGTCAAAAATAAGCAAGCGACATATATACAAGTCAAAAATAAGCAAGCGACATATATACAAGTCAAAAATAAGCAAGCGACATATATACAAGTCAAAAATAAGCAAGCGACATATATACAAGTCAAAAATAAGCAAGCGACATATATACAAGTCAAAAATAAGCAAGCGACATATATACAAGTCAAAAATAAGCAAGCGACATATATACAAGTCAAAAAATAAGCAAGCGACATATATACAAGTCAAAAATAAGCAAGCGACATATATACAAGTCAAAAAATAAGCAAGCGACATATATACAAGTCAAAAATAAGCAAGCGACATATATACAAGTCAAAAATAAACAAGCGACATATATACAAGTCAAAAATAAGCAAGCGACATATATACAAGTCAAAAATAAGCAAGCGACATATATACAAGTCAAAAATAAGCAAGCGACATATATACAAGTCAAAAATAAGCAAACATATATATATATATATACAAGTCAAAAATAAGCAAACAATATATATACAAGTCAAAAATAAGCAAACAATATATATACAAGTCAAAACTAAGCAAGCATTATATGCAAGTCAAAAATAAGCAAGCAACATATATGCAAGTCAAAAATAAGCAAGCAACATATATGCAAGTCAAAAATAAGCAAGCAACATATATGCAAGTCAAAAATAAGCAAGCAACATATATGCAAGTCAAAAATAAGCAAGCAACATATATGCAAGTCAAAAATAAGCAAGCAACATATATGCAAGTCAAAAATAAGCAAACACTATATATGCAAGTCATAACTAAGCAAACACTATATATGCAAGTCATAACTAAGCAAACACTATATATGCAAGTCATAACTAAGCAAACACTATATATGCAAGTCATAACTAAGCAAACACTATATATGCAAGTCATAACTAAGCAAAGCAATATTAAAAACATAAAAAAGTTCAATGAAAGAATTGTGTTCACATGCAAAAGGGATACAGTCAAGTCATTATAGTGTTCTGACTTCAAGACTAGAAAGAATAAAAATATGGGGGATAAGATCAAGAATTGTATATTTTTATTGATTATGAATATATCCCATCATGCATCTGTAGGATTTGTCTATAAATTTGTTGCAGGTGATGTTATTAGCTGTCATTCCTATTGATTAGAATCAATATATACTTTACCTGGAATTTCTAAACTGGTCAGTGGAAGTTTGTAAAGTTTTGTAAAGACTCCATAAACAGCAAACATAAAAAGACCTGCAATTTCTGTCCCAATGAAGTTGACTGTAACTGCTAATAGAGAAACCCTGAAAAAGAAGTAATTCAAATGAAACTGGAAATATTTTAATCTTTTTTTTTTTTTGTATACAAGACATATGCAGGTCATTGTCAAATTACAAACATGATTCGTTTTGACCAACTTCTCAAATATTCTTAGATTATCAAAATTTTTTGAATAATGCTTTACCGATACATGCTTATAAATTAACCCATAGCTGTGGGGAGAAGAGATGGATTCATACCTTTTCCAAGGCTATTTGTGCATAATTGAATATAACAAATCCAAGAGGAATTAGAACTATACTCTCCCATTTTCAATTCCATGTCATAATCCATCATACCACCGACACATTCAAGTTTACAACACTTGGTATTCTCAAGTGGTTACCCATCTAGGTACTGATCAGGCTCGATATTGCTTAACTTCAGTGATCGTACAAGAATTGGTGTTTCAATGTGATGTGGCTGTAAACCTTGTTCAATCCTTGCAAATTGCTTGGTGCTTGGGTTCATTCCTTCAAAATGTACAAAGAGTTTATTTAGTAGATATAAACTTTCTGATAATCCCTTGGTGGCCAATTAACTTTCCTACTTCTTTCTTCTTCTGCCACTGTTCTTCTTCTAATGTGATTAGGTCTTCATTTGTAAGTTATCCAGATTCTAGTTCTAAAAACTTCTCAACATCTCCCAATTAGCAGTCGTGGTCATAAAGCCAAGCAGTCATAAGTCACATTGGTTGTAAGTTGACAATGACCAGTAAAGACCTATTTTGTCAATATCATCCTGTTGTAGAGTAGTGTACTTCCTGCTCTTCCTTACTTCTATGACAATGGACTGCTCCTACTTATAGATATGGCAAGTAGCCACATTAGAATAGGATTTGAGGAGTAATTCACTCAAGTTTTTCCAGTTTATGTATAAGTATTTAATAAATCTCATCTTTGACTTCCCTACCCAGTCTTCTGTTCTTTCAATACTCTAACTTCGGCCTTCTAAATTTTTGGCTATTTTGAATAAAGACAACATTATAACACATACTATTATAATTCTGCTTGTTCCTTAGTTTGTTAGTACGTACATAACACCTTGCCAATCTCTTTCTATAAAAGGCAGGATGTGTGTGTGTGTGTGTGAGACGAATGCACAGCCACAATTTTCGACAGATTTGCACCAAAATTTACATGCACATCTCCAAGTTAGCAGGAATGCCAAGACTGAGTTTGCATTTCCCAACTCCCATCGATAGTGGAAATAATCGATTTTTTTCATGCTTCTACGGCACTTTTCATGTAGTTTGTGGCCATTTTCTACTGGCCAGAGTGAGAGCCAACAGCTGACTGACACGAATGTTAACTAGCATGCAAAAAAAAAAAAAAAAAAAAAAAATCGATAGCTGCATTCACCACAAGTGGGAAAAATTTAAATCTGCATGGGACTTTACTCCAATTGGCTCATTCGCTTGCTTAAACTCATTGTTGATTCTGATTCCGCAGAACAGTGTTCGGTGTGAAAAAGTATTTGTTGTTAACATTCTTTTATCATTCGGTTTTTCAAAGTTACGAGTCCTTTTTTAAAGCTGATCGTTTTGTGTTCATTTTGCTTAATTCTTTTTTCGTAACAGATTTAATGTTTAGTATAGAGCTTAGAAAAAATCGCAGTGTGAGATAGGCAAGAAGTAAGCATGTAGCAACATCAGCACGGCAAAGGGCACTCCTTTAAAGGCAAGGAAGGGCAAAAATATTTTAAGTCAAGTGATAGCGATTGCTGTACGAGTCATACGATTTTTGAATCAAGCATGGGCAACGCCAGGCCATGCTGCTAGTACCTTATAAATAATGGCCTATTTCATTTCAGTGAGTAAAAGAAAGAAAGAAACAAAGAAAAGATAAAAGAGGTGATAATGCTCTTATATGTTTAATGTCTGCTTCAGTGAAATAGAAAAACTTGTCAATTTCAAATATTTTCATTTGTACCCTCTTACTTCTTTAAATAATTACTTGCATTCATACTTAGGATTGTTATTGCAAAAATCCAGATTTGTCATACATTTAATTGGGAAATTTAGAGAAAGTTAAATGAACTATTTACATTTGAACTATTATCCACATTTTATTTTTTGTTACCACAATGTTTCAGCCATTGTGCTTTCCAGACTTCAAGTGTATATCAATCCAGGTAACCTACTGGGAATTCTGAATTGAACCCTTTATTTAATCCACAGAGGTTGACTGTTCTTGTTCTACTGCTCTCCTTGAGAGATATCTACTTCCACAAAGTTGAATCATCCTCATTTCCTCAAGAAGAAAGTTCTAATCAGAGAAATGTTTCTTTGCTCTTTCCAGTATTAATGGGGGCTTCCTAACTTTTTCTTTGAAATCGTGTGGATAAATCCACTAAGACACAAGGCACTACTGAAAGTGAAAGATAATGAAAATACTTTAGAGGAAAAGTTGCTTAAATTTTTATGCTTGGCTCCAATAAATAGAAAAGTAGTGTACTGACTGAGTAGTTTTTATTCCAACACACAAGCATAGAAATGTCCATGAACATTTAATCAAAAGGTAGTAAGCATGTCTCTTTATTTTGAGGGAAAGTCTTCTTGGTCCAGGAGGCTTACGACCATATATTGAAACACCAGTTATCGTATGGTCAAAGAAACATTGATCTTGATGAATACCTAGATTAGTAACCACTTGGGAATACCAGGTGCTGTAAGCTTGGATGTGTGGGTGGCGTAATGGATAATGGCTCAGAAATTTAAAATTTTCAAGCAGAGTTCCAATTCCAATTGGGTTTGTTATATTCACTTACAAATAATCTTGGGAAAAGTATGAATCTACCTCTTCTCGGGTTAATTAGTAGAACTTGTATAAGTAAAAACCATCATCTCACAAAAGTTTTACAGTATTTTCTAGCTTTTAAATAACCTGAAAAAGGTTGATAAGACATAAAAAAACAAAATCAACCAATCAATCTTGGTCTGGACTGAGAACTCTTCAGTACACTTTCATACATTTCAATCAGCATTTAATTTTTTGTCAAGGATTCTTTTTTTTTAACTTTTTTTCAAACTTGTATTTTTTTTTTACGAAAGGGATAAGTATAACTTACCGGAAACTGTTACTATGAAAATGGGTGTAACCAGCCATCATAGAAAAACTACCAGTGCCTAATCCGAGTGAGAAAAAAAGTTGTTTGGCAGCATCGGACCAAACCTGGGGGGTAAAAAAATTCAAAAGATAAAATTTTGTTGCACTAATTATAAACGTATTATTTTTTTTTTGTTTTTTTTTGTATATATTTTTTTTTTTAAATTCAAGATAACTTATACCCAAATCTAAATATTTCCATTATAATAAATGGAGTGAGATTATTCTAAAGGTAAAAGGACTCAAATAGTTGGTGAATAAAAAAAAATTTAATTTTTAACTTATTAAAAGTAATAAACTAGGAGCTTAGTTCGTGATAATAATGATCTCCTTTTTATGTTTTTCTGAAGAAAAATAATAACATTCAGAGAGGAAAATAAATGAAACAATTAGTAATTGCTGCATAAAGTAAAGATACCTTGATTTTTATTACTTACACACACACAATGTTTGATCAAAAAGAATACTGTTTCTATAGTAATAGCCCTAAAATAGGCAGAGTGAAATGACTTTGCACAAATTGACCTTGAACTGTCACACATACACACTAAGTTATAACATTCTCACTCAATTGTTGTTGTTTACAGGAGTACTTTGAACGAAAGTGTAGTGTGTCGTCATCTCACAACACTAAAGAGGTTCCATCAGTGACCTTGGCTTGTGCAGTAGTTTTTGACTAAGGACAACGTTTCCCAGGTCTGACAATGATCATATTCCCTAGATCTCACCTCCTGCAACAATTTCCTCTTCAAAACTCAAATCCCACCTAAAAGGAAGAAGACATCAAAGAAATCCAAGAGAATATAATGAGTCAGCTGCTTGCTATTCCAAAAAAGGAATTCTAGGTATGTTTCCATTGGTGGAAATAACACTGGATAAAATGTTTGCCTTGAGAAGGGGACTACTTCAAAGGAGATTAAATGTTGAATTGATATGTGTAGTAGTTTTTTATAGCACCTATCCCAATACTTTTTGATCAGACCATATGTGTGTGTGAAATGTGTATGTATATAAATATATATGCAATTTATTATATATATTATTTATATATTATATATGGGCAGTACTTATTGGAAAGCGCTCAATATCAGTGATAGAGCTAACATATTTAGTTGGATTGATGTGAGTTTGTGACCCTGGGTTTTATGCTTTTGCAATTGTCAGACAAACTATCACAAAAGTGTGAAAGCCAAACTCACATCAATCCGACTATATATATATATATATATATATATATATATAATGAAAGCAGATAATTTAGAAATTGCTTTCTTATAAGGAAATGGCTAATATTATCATTAAAGATGAGGAAAACGGATACTAAAGTCTGGTCTTTGCGTAATGGCCAGTGGATGAAGAAAAGCATAATCTGAGTAGCACTAGTTTCTTTTTTTTTTCTTTTTAATCATTTCACCAAAAGTAAGGTAAAAAAGTCACTAAGACGCAAGAGATTACTGAGTGTTAGAGAATATAAAAAAAAAATACAATTAAGGAGAGAGGACAATAAAAGAACAGAGATTAAGACAAAAGATAACGATAGACATTGCATTTATATTTTTTGAAGATCAAAGTTGACACGGAATCCAGAAGCTGGAAGAGAGATCCAGAAGCTGGAAGAGAGTTCCACAAGCAAGAAGTGCGATAGAAGAAACTGTTAGCATAGAACTTGTGGTTCCATCTAACCATTTCAACTTTAAAATGATGGGACCTTGCCACCAATCTAGTCAGTCAGTTGTACCATACGTGATACATGCTCTGCCGATCATGTATCTTTCGATACATGACTGACAAGGCAGATTTTTTTCCCGCAGTAGGTTGCCATTTCTTTCTGTGGTAGACTGGTTGCCAACCAAGGCTACAGAAACCAGTTTGTCCTGCTATTCAACCCATAGCTGGGGGGGAAGAGATGGATTCATAGCTCTCCCAAGGGTATTTGTGCATAAAGGAATTTAATGAACTCAACTGGAATTCGAACTCTGCTCTCCGGGTTCTCACTCCAAGCCGATATCCAAGCTAGTACTGCATTTAAACTCATAAAGCCTGGGTAACCATAGAGGAAAGTTCATCACAACAATTACGATGAAATTATTTATAGAAAATGCACAGGGAAGCTATATTACAGCAGTGGGAAAGTGAGTGAATATACACTTTCCATTTAATGTCAGTAGAAAACGTTAGCCTAAGAAGGCATGAGTCACTCTTCTGGAGGTTAGCATCAGCCATGCTGATGGAAGATAAAAATGTTTCTCTCAAGTAATTGAATGAGAGCAGTTTCATTTTTGAAGCATTAAAATGAACAATAATTGCTCAGTTAATAAATGTTGAATGTTTCCTTATAAGGAAACATCTAATACTGCCAATATGATTACCATTTCTGAAATATCTTTATTTCTCCTCTTCCATCATGAACATATTCTTTTAAATGCCATTTCCTTTCAGGACATAGGTGATCATGATTCACTACAGCTTCCTTTTGCTTATTATCTTGAAATTGTCATCAACTCTTGGGACAGATAGTGAAGGTGAGATGTCAGGTCAGGACTAATAACATTGCAGGTTTTTCTTTGGATTTTATCAAGAATCTTTAAATATATAGCAGGAGCATCACAGCAATGGGATCTAGACTGGTTGCCAACCCAGGCTAAAGAACCTAGTCTGTCCTGCTCTTCAACCTATAGCTGGGTGGAGAGAAGAGATTGATTCATGCCTTTCAGAAGGGGATTACTTCAAAGGAGATTAAATGTTGAATTGGCCATGGGAATTCTTCTCTTCAACTGATTCCCAGACTACCAAAGGTAAGCAACGTCAAGCCTGGTCATTACCTAGATGGCTGACTGCTTGGGAATACCAGGTACTGAAAGCTTGGATGTGCAGGTGGTGTAATGGATAATGATTCAGATTTGTTAATTGGAGAACAGAGTTCCAATTCCATTTAGGTTTGTTCTATTCACTTATATGTAAAAACCATTGGAAAAAGGTATGAACCCATCTCTTCTCAACCCCCAGCTATGGGTTAATTAGTAAGACTTGTATCACTAAACTATTATTACCTCTCCAAAAAATTCTTACAATCTAAAAATATCTTCTGGCTTTAAATAACCTGCATATGGTTGATAAAATGTAGAAAACAAATCCATCAAATACTGATTAGTTACAGTCATGTCTTTTAGATTTATTTACATTCTCTGGAATATAAATATGTAGCAACTATTGTGACCACAAAGTGAGGGATTAGTGTTTATATATTGATAGTAATATAGAAATAATCACCAATTTTATATCCACATTATAATTTTTTTTTTTTTATTTATCAAAATCTGATTAGGTATGAATCCACCTCTTCTCCCCCCCAGTTAGGGATTAATTAGTAAAACTTGTGTCTAAACTATTTCATGCTGACTTCCATGAGATGATGCACACATCCATCATGAATTCATTATAAAAAACTGTTTTTCTAAATTGTAAGCACAGATGCTAAAAAATTATGTAACCACCCTGTTAAACACAAATGTGTTTTTAAATGCAAAGTCCGTAGCAATAGTTTCCAAATGGTATTATTGCATAATGAACAAGTAGCATTAATAAAAGATAGTTTCTTGTAGTTATATATATATATATATATATATATATATATAATTATTTATTTAAAAATATGATTCCAAAATGCTACATAAGAAGTCTCATGTTTCAAAACAAGAGCTGAAAATTTCAATATAATTATTTAAATTAAATTGAGTTAAAATAAGCTCTGTTCCATCTTCAAGCGAAATTTTTTTTTTTTTTGGAATAACGTATATCTGAAATTTACGTGTTTTAAAAATTGAAATCAAAATTTCCATGGTAACAGCAAGGGCGAATTGTTTAAATTGGGTAGGCGAGTGTTGGGTGTTAATAATAAGTATCAGTATAGAGTTACTTTCATAGATGTCAAGTCAAGGAAAGGTAGGGGTGTCTAAATTTTAAACGGAAGATGTATTAACCCTTGTCTAGTTTGCATGTCTATGGAGATTTATTTATTTTTTTTTTATGAAAAAGGGATTTGTGCATATGAAAAAAACTGTTGTAACGTTTGTTTTTTTTGACGACTTCATAAAGGTTATCTTTAACATTGATTTTAATATATATATATATATATATATATATATATATATATATATATATATATATATATATATATATAAATCAATGTTCCATAGCACTGATGACACCAGATATGCACTTTTAGCATATTCATTTAACAGGCAACAAGAAAGATGCAGATTGGAGTTAAAATAAATTTTAAAAATAGAATTGCACATTAAAAAATTAAAACAAGGATTTGGGTTTACTCAGAGAATATAGTTTCCACAGGGAGCACTCTAGCCAACAACAACATTCGTTGGAATAGCGAGTCCCACTTTTTTGTGTATTTTTCATTGAAAAAGGACACAGGTGTGTCTGAAAATGCAACTTTAAAATCTGGCATATTTCGTATAGAGAAAAAACGTTAGAATACCTTTCCTTTCTGCCATATGACAATGGCCTTGGGGTAAGATATCTGACTGATGTCAGCCAGGATCAAAACCTGACTTGAAGCAATTGGACATCTAGCCACACTGAGTATCTGTGATAAAGCGAAACAGTCTGTCTGTGGATGATTATATATATATATATATATATATATATATATATATATATGTATGTATGTGTATATATATATATATATATATATATATATATGTATGTATGTGTGTGTGTATATATATATATATATATATATATATATATATATATATATATATATATATATATATAATAGAGAATCTAAATGAAATAATAAAAAAACGAAAGAATATTAATCTACAACGCAATGTGTCTGAAGATTTTAATTTTTTAATATTTTTTTATTGCTCAATATATATTTCTAATGAATCTAATGGATTTTTATTAATCCAACAGATTTTTTTTTATCACTTTCAAAGTTGTTTTTAGTGGATATTTGTATTTAAGTTGACACTCCTTTTGTTTATTAAACAGCATATTTATCTACATGTGAAGAGTAACGGATAGCAGCTTGGAGTGAGGAA